AAGAGTGAATTGCCTTCATCACCCTCTGTAGAAAGGCATATTTAATTGTACAAAGGAAACGTGCATGAATGCAAGAGAAAGTATTCAAATTAGGAAAAATTTTTTCACTGAAAGGGTTGTCAAGCATTGGAACAGGTTGCCCAGGGAAGCGGTGGAGTCACTATCTCTGGAGGTATTTAAAAGACGTGTAGATGTGGTGCCTAGGGACACGGTTTAGTGGTGAACTTTGGCAGTGTTAGGTTATCAGTTGGACTTGATGATCTTACAGGTCTTTTCCAACCTAAACATTTCTATGATTCTATGAAATTAATGGGAGGAGCCTTTAGATCTTTTTCTGCAGCTGATGTTTAAAGAAGTTTTAGTGATATAGTTGAGACTTACTGTCTCTCTTTAAACAGTGTCCTTTTCATCAGTTTGAAATTTCTGGATATTGTATCTAAGGATACTTTAATAAAATAGTGAGATAGTAAACCATATTCCTGAAATATTAGATTCTTTCCATGGTAAGTAGCACCTTCCTTCCTTTTTAAGAAAAATGTGACATCATTCTCTAGGAACTCCCCAGGAGACAGAAAACAGAGGTACTAACTTTAGATTCTTGGCATTTAGGTAGCATAAAACACATTTCTGGTTAGCATACTCACTTTTTTGCTTTAAGTCCTTCACAGCGTGAACAGATGTGCAAAAGACCCAGGTAGCTTTAAAAATTGTGTGTAGAAATTAATTATTTTTTTGAGAAGAGCAATTAGATGCTCAATCCTGCAAATTCTGAGCTTTCTAGCCCTCATCTAGGAAAGCAGTTCTCCATTTAATCTTAAGCACAGAAATAATGCTGTGGATAAGGACATCATTAGCTGGGGGCCAGAAAATGAACAGCCTTGTACGATTAAACTGTTTGCTCCACCAGCTATTTATCTGTAGCTTGCTTAACCTGAATTAAGGAATGGGGAGCTCTCTTTCTCCCAGGGGAAGACCATGCTCATCAGAATTTGTACAACAGCTAGTGAACGTAACAGAAAGCAGGATTATCCATCTGTAGCTTCAGAAATATGGCTTATCTCAAGAGTGGTGTACAACTTATTTTACATGGTACCTTGTTATACATTTAGCAGCCTGTCTCACACACTCTTTATTCTTCAAAGGCCATATAAGTGTTATCATAGCTACAGTTCACTGTAAGGCAATTCCATGGTATTTGTCTGAGAAGTAGGACGTAAACCCAATACCACTATTGTTTTTTGTGTCCTCCCAAGTGACAGACACTCCCTGCTTTAGGGCTGAGGGAGTCTATTTGAGTATGTTGTTGGACATGCACAATGAGACATTTCCTGCTGGCTTTGTATATGCTATGCTGAATACAATTCAGTAATGTCATGCTGTTTTGAAAAAGGCAAACTTGATTTTCAGATGCATAACCAGAACTCTTAGAAAATACATAAAGTAATTTTTCTGTCTTACTAGGGATTGCTAAGGCATTAGAAAAATATCTCCGGTTTGGGGCTTCGCACTTCAAGAAAGAAGTAAACCCTAATTAGAGCTAATCTTGAGCAAAGCAAATATCTACTAGTTTTACAATCTGTGAGGAAGGATTGAACAAACTAGGGAGAGGATTGAGAGGCACATGATAACCTCAAATAAGTGAAGTGGGAAGGATATAATCCATTCCCATGACTGTGGTGAACACAAACAAGCCTCAGTCACAACAAGGAAGTTTCAGATTAGACACTAAAAAAACCATTTTAATGGCAAGAAGAAGTAAGTGCTGGAACACCTTGCTTTGAGTCTGCCATTGGAGGCTGAAGAAAAAGTTAAATACACATTTGTCATTACTGGCCTAGATAATGCTGTTCCGTGTTTTGAGCATAGGAAGGATGAGATGACTTTGAAGGCCTTTTCCTGCTGTATGGTAAATAGGATAAAAGACAAGAATAACAAAGGAGCAGGGACATCTTTATCAGAATGTATTTACATCATGGTAACCAGAATTTCTCTTATGTATTTTCATAACTGTATCTGACGTTAGAAGATAGAGAAGTCAGGAGAAAGAAAGAAAAAAATAATTTTTTTCTGTTTTAGAATGACTTTTGGAGAAAGATAGAGTTTAGTCCAGGGTGTGTGTTAAGATCAGTCTAACGTCTAAGGCCTCCCAGCATCATCTTATACCTAAAATATATTTGTTCAGTTAAAATCAAGTGGGCATTCAGCTCTTTCAATCGTATTTGGAAATTTACTGTAAAGTACATTTGGCAAGAGAATTTCAAAATTGTGTGTGTAATTTCAGACTTCTTGAAAATTCCAGCTGCAATGAATAAGGACAGTTAGCAATGAACTTGTCAAAAAAATAATATACCACTTCACAACATAGAAGAAAAACTGTGCAATATCTATAAAGGCCTAAAGTGTTTTGTCATTTTTGTGGCTGTTTACAGGGTCTGGTGTTCACACTGCTCTGAAAAGTAAGGTCCAATGTTTTTTCTTTCTCTTTGGCTGACTGCAGAATGAAGTTTAATATTATATTACTGCAATGACTAATCTACAAAAGTAGAGAGAAACTTTTCTAATTCATAAAAAATGCTTAATCAACATTTTGAGAAATCAAAGATTTTAGATGTCTTTTAAGTGCTTGGAGGAAGTACATGTTCCTTGATACACCTAAGACACAGCATTTGGACTGGCTGTAACTACATTCATAAGACAACCAAAAAGGTAAGTTTTTGCCATCGGTAACAAAATAGAAAGCACAGAATGCTCATCTAGTTGGAATTATTATCATTATTTCCATAATTTACCCAATGGACTTTGTTCCTAGATTTCAGTTTCATCAGACAGAAGATTATATAAATTTATAAGAAGTACATTCGCTTACTGGAATGGAAAGATCCCTTAATTACAAGCAGTAGCTACTAAAAGCCAAATATCTAGCCAGGGTGTCAAAAAGATACACATCTGCACTGTTTTAAACGTTGATAGTTGGGTTTATAGAAAAGAAAATAAGTTCTGATCCTGACTTTGGGTGCAATGAACTAGATTGATATTTCATGAAGCACTCTTGCATATTGGTTTTGTTACCCAAATTAACAGGAAAAAGGGAATTTTCATACCTTCTTTCAAACTTAGTAAGACTTGATATTGTAGGAATTTAATCACAGAACAAACTTTTTGGTAAGGTCAGGACTTCTAAGGGCTAAGTATCTGCCTTCTGAAAAGAAAAATGAGTTCTGATGTCTCTTCCAAAACCAGAAACAATTGCAATTACCAACCATTTTTTAAAGGTTTTTTTTCTTTCTTTGGTTTCAAACTGACTAAAATGATCAATTCTATATCATGGCATTTTATTTTTTATCAGGTGGTGTTTTGGTTGTTACACACTTGTTTAACAAGTTTTTATACATTGCATACAGACATCACGCTCTTAGCTCTATTTCCCCCTGGCTACAGTCATGTTTGTCCCTGTGTACTCTTCTGCATCCATTACTCTTGTCTTCTTTAGCCTACAAGGGCCTAGCTTCAAGATAGGCAAATTGTTTCTACACAGTCTATTGTGCAGACTCTTGCATTTTTCTCTGCCCCTTCCTCTCCTACTGTTGAACTTGGGTCGCTGTGTAACAACAAACGTAAGGAGTAGGGACAGGCAAGGCAGAAAGTGATTGAATATGGCTATAATGTATTGGCAGGTTTTTTTAAATACCAAGGATTGATGACTCAGGATAGATATTTTATTCTAACCTTAAGGGAAAACTTAAGCAGGCAGAACTAAGGACTGGGTAGGTTTTTGTTTCTCTTCCCAGAGAGGCCCAGCAATTACGGCTCAAATGGTGTGCAGGAAGACATTAGCTGTTCCTGGAGAAAGGCTGATGCTACTTACTTCCTCACTACTAATTTTTGTGTCTAGTTTTGACTTCTTTGATTAATTTTTTTTTACAGTATTTAAGGTCTTGTAGTTCTTGATTTTTTTTAAACAGGTAACTTTTAAATCTGTTTAAATCACCTGTGTCAACTATTTTTTTTCTCACAATCCATCAGAAAAAAAAAAACCCCAGCTTGT